CTTGTCCCCAGGATGCGACCCACACCAGTTGACTAACACCCAGGTACCTATCTGCTACTAGGTGAACATAACAACAGGTGTAAGAAAACCCGTCGAAATGCTTCCACCCAGCCGGGAATCGAACCCGGGCCCTCCGTGTGTGACGCTAGAGCTTCAGCCACTAGGCCACTTGGGCACCAAGTTCGAGGGAAATACATATGATGTGTCAACTCTCTCACATCTTTCTACAAATATTTCACATATTCATGCTGCCCTAAGTAAACAATAAAATAAAATTACAAAGAAAAATAATAGGAAAAAATAAAAAATGCATATGACGTGTCACAACTCTCTCACGTCCTTCTGCATACATTTTCCACACTCCAAAACCAAAGAGACATACCTGGATTGACGGAGCTCATAAAACCATCACCATTCTACCTTACCCTGACTTAGAAGAAGCCTTCAAATCACTAGGAAGGTCAATATCCCCCGTAATGTCTATCTCCACGTCACCTGGGCCTCCCGACATGTTGGTCAGGATTGTTTACACAGCAAGAATAAGTGAAAGGAGAGGTTGGTGTTGATGTAGTGTTGGATCTCTCAGGTGTGGCAGGCGGCGCCGCTGAGGATCGTCTAGCAGGCTTGGACTCCACCTCTGACGTGTCAGGCTCAGGTGTCGATAGCCCGCGGGGACTTCGAAATTTCCTTATAACTTTTCCTGTAATGCTGTTATCTGTTTGTTTATACAGTAATCTTAAATACCTTACATTGTTGCAGTTTAATAATAATAGTAAAATTATTAATAATAGCAGTAATAATAATATTAAAATAATGATAATAATAATGATAGAATTGATAGTAATAATAAATTATTATTATTATTATTATTATTATTATTATTATTATTATTATATTATTATTATTATATTATTATTATTATTATTATTATTACTATTATTATTATTTATTATTATTATTATATTATTATTTATTTATTTATTATTATTATTCAGGTATCCCCGAAGTGGAAACTATGAAAGGAATCCTGAATGTTTTTTCTTATTTTTCTCTTTTCACTAGTCAGACTTACAACGTAAGTCTTGCAGCGTTAAGGTTACAACGTCAGACTTACAGCGTTAAGGTTACAACGTCAGACTTACAGCGTCAAGGTTACAACGTCAGACTTACAGCGTTAAGGTTACAACGTCAGACTTACAGCGTTAAGGTTACAACGTCAGACTTACAGCGTCAAGGTTACAACGTCAGACTTACAGCGTTAAGGTTACAACGTCAGACTTACAGCGTTAAGGTTACAACGTCAGACTTACAGCGTCAAGGTTGCAACGTCAGACTTACAGCGTCAAGGTTACAACGTCAGACTTACAGCGTTAAGGTTACAACGTCAGACTTACAGTGTTAAGGTTACAACGTCAGACTTACAGCGTCAAGGTTACAACGTCAGACTTACAGCGTCAAGGTTACAACGTCAGACTTACAGCGTTAAGGTTACAACGTCAGACTTACAGCGTCAAGGTTACAACGTCAGACTTACAGCGTTAAGGTTACAACGTCAGACTTACAGCGTCAAGGTTACAACGTCAGACTTACAGCGTCAGACTTACAGCGTCAAGGTTACAACGTCAGACTTACAGCGTCAAGGTTACAACGTCAGACTTACAGCGTCAAGGTTACAACGTCAGACTTACAGCGTCAGACTTACAGCGTCAAGGTTACGACGTCAGACTTACAGCGTCAAGGTTACAACGTCAGACTTACAGCGTCAAGGTTACAACGTCAGACTTACAGCGTCAAGGTTACAACGTCAGACTTACAGCGTCAAGGTTACAACGTCAGACTTACAGCGTCAAGGTTACAACGTCAGACTTTACAGCGTCAAGGTTACAACGTCAGACTTACAGCGTCAAGGTTACAACGTCAGACTTACAGCGTCAAGGTTACAACGTCAGACTTACAGCGTCAAGGTTACAACGTCAGACTTACAGCGTCAAGGTTACAACGTCAGACTTACAGCGTTCAGACTTTACAGCGTCAGGTTACAACGTCAGACTTCAGGTCAAGGTTACAACGTCAGACTTACAGCGTCAAGGTTACAACGTCAGACTTACAGCGTCAAGGTTACAACGTCAGACTTACAGCGTCAAGGTTACAACGTCAGACTTACAGCGTCAAGGTTACAACGTCAGACTTACAGCGTCAAGGTTACAACGTCAGACTTACAACGTCAGACTTACAGCGTCAGACTTACAGCGTCAGACTTACAGCGTCAGACTTACAGCGTCAGACTTACAGCTTAAGCTGTCCAGGTGTCGGAGGCCATCAGTTATTACCTGAAGACACAGTTTCCTGCTCTTACACTAACTTCCTCCAAAGTTTTTCGCTCTGGAAGAATGTTGGCATTGTTAGTGGAGTGTGTTGGTTAATACTGTGTTGCTTGTGTGAGTGTTGGTTAATATTGTGTTGCTTGTGTGAGTGTTGGTTAATACTGTGTTGCTTGTGTGAGTGTTGGTTAATATTGTGTTGCTTGTGTGAGTGTTGGTTAATACTGTGTTGCTTGTGTGAGTGTTTGGTTAATATTGTGTTGCTTGTGTGAGTGTTGGTTAATACTGTGTTGCTTGTGTGAGTGTTGGTTAATACTGTGTTCTTGTGTGAGTGTTGGTTAATATTGTGTTGCTTGTGTGAGTGTTTGGTTAATACTGTGTTGCTTGTGTGAGTGTTGGTTAATACTGTGTTGCTTGTGTGAGTGTTGGTTAATATTGTGTTGCTTGTGCGAGTGTTGGTTAATATTGTGTTGCTTGTGTGAGTGTTGGTTAATATTGTGTTGCTTGTATGAGTTTGTTGGTTAATATTGTGTTGTTTGTATGAGTGTGTTGGTTAACATTGTGTTGCTTGTATGCGTGTGTTGGTTGAGGTGGTAGGTGGGGCGTGGATGGTGTGGTTAAGTTTAATTAAAGTCTGTCAGCTACACGAGGGTCATGAAGGCTGTTTGTCACCTGTGCACCACAAGTCAAAAATAATACCTAAAACAGTGATTAAAGTAAGTTCTCCGTAACATATATTCTGACACACCATGTATGTCAGGCCCCTATTAGAGTATGCAGCACCAGTATGGAACCCACATCTGGTTAAGCACGTCATGAAATCAGAGAAAGTGCAAAGGCTTGCAACAAGACTAGTCCGGAGCTAAGGGATATGTCCTACGAGGAGAGGTTCAGGGAAATCACACTTACAATACTGGAGGACAGGTGGGATAGGGAGACATAATAAAGACATATAAAATACTTAGAGGAATTGACAAGGTGAATAGGGACAGAATGTTTCAGAGATAGGATAAAGCAACAATGGGACACAACTGGAAGTTGAAAGCTCAAATGAGTCACAGGGATGTCAGGAAGCATTTCTTCAGTCTTAGAGTTGTAAGGAACTAGAACTGTCTGGAGAGTGATGTAATGGAGGCAGGATCCATACATAGCTTTAAGAAGAGGTATGATAAAGCTCATGGAGCTGGGACAGAGTGGATCTAATAGCGACCAGCGAAGAGGCGGGTCAGGAGCTGTTACTCGACACTTGAAACCACAAACAGGTGAGTACACACCCAAACACCTTCTCGGGTGTATCAACACAGCTTTCGGTGCATACACGGAGAACACACACACACACACACTCACAATCGGTGTATACATACACCGAAATACACATTCTACTCGGTGTATATAACCTGCGTGGGATGTGATGTATGGCTCGGGACACCTTGTTCACCCTATCATGGTTGACAGTCACGTCAAGCCACTGTACTGCCTCACCACCTGTGACTATGTTATATATATATATATATATAATATATATATATATATATATATATATATATAATATATATATATATATATATATATATATAATATTATATATTATTATATAAGTAAACACATTACAATTACTGTGTTTTATGCAGCTCCTGAGAGCTGGGGCGCATACATAGGTACCCAGGATGCAACGGGCATTACCCCTCTGAACTGCAACACCGAGACGCTGTGGAACAGAAAACTAGCAGCTCTATGTTCCTTAGTTGCCCTGATGAGTCTTTTGCCTAGCTGCTTCAGGAACTTGAATGCGCTCTTTCCCCATGTGCCGAGGGTCCCTGAAACTGTGGGACCAAATATGCAATGATGAACAAGTTCACCGTTTTTTTGTAAACTTCTGGGATTCCCTGATACTGTGTAATACTGAGTGACCTACACTGTAATGATCATGTGACCGCGTTCATCAGTTGTGATACTTATTATTACTGTAACCCATTTCACTAGCCTTGTATATAGTTCAGTAGTACTGTAACTTGTTTAGTGAATAGCATTCTGGACACCATCTCTGGACCCAGGGATGGTGCGTGTGTGGGTAGTGTGATGGTGGTTTGAAGTGGTAGTGGATGGTGGTAGTGGTGGTGGAAGTGGTAGTGGTGATGGTGGTAGTGGTGATGGTGGTAACGGTAGTGGTGATAGTGGTGGTGGTAGTCATGGCGGTAGTGGTGATGGTGGTAGTGGTGGTGGTAGTGTAGTGGTGATGGCAGTGGTGGTAGTGGTGGTGGTGGTAGTGGTGGTGGTATGGTTGGTGGTGGTGATAGTATTGATGGTAGTGGTGGTGGTAGTAGTAGTGGTGATGGCAGTGGTGGTAGTGGTAAGGGTGGTGGTGGTTAGTGGTAGTGGTGGTGATGGTACTGGTGGTAGTGGTAGTGGTGTAGTGGTGGTAGTGGTGGTGATGGTAGTGGTGGTGATAGTAGTGGTAGTGATGGTGGTAGTGGTAGTAGTGGTGATATTTAGTGGTTAGTAGGTAGTGGTGGTGATAGTAGTGGTAGTGGTGGTGACAGTAGTGGTGGTGGTAGTGGTGGTGATGGTAGTGGTAGTGGTGGTGATAGTAGTGGTAGTGATGGTGGTAGTGGTGGTGATATAGTGGTGGTGGTAGTGGTGGTGGTGGTGGTGGTGGGTCCTCAGTCTTGGTAACACAGTCTCGGTGTAAGGTCACTACAGTCTCTCCCTGGCTGCTGCCTCACACTCTCCCTCACCACCTCCCTGGTCACTCATCACACTGACTACTGTAGACAGTGACTAGGTAGCTTCTAGTACGGATGGCCTCACGTGTGTTCATCTCCTAACTAGACGCTGCTACGCAAACTAGAAGTCTAGGAGGCGGAACTCAACAATTTGCTGCCCGTGTTTTCCCAGCTTGGCAACCAAGAATTGCACTTTTCTTACCGAAATTTGCAAGATATGTGAAAGTGTACTATTGATAATGTGGGAACCACAGTGATCTGAATTGGGAATTTGAGTTATTTGTTCTACGAGAGACGGATAATAACTTTTTACCAGAGTTGAAGAAACATCAAATTTTACAAGTGTATTTATTATCCATGAATATAATTTTTTGCTTGAAATCGAGAACTATATTCTTATATTATCCCTGATTTACAATAAGAAGGTTTACAAAGACTTTGATGGTAGAATAATGTGTACGAGTTTATAACTGATAACAAGACAAAATACATTTTTTAATAGGAAACAGCAAGAACAGAATATTGTGGTATTTACATGACGTATTACGTGTGTTCTAACACCTTCAACTTGAAATAATGTGACAGATATCGTTCAAAAACAAACTCGAGAACTTTTACCTTGAAGTTTAAACCCTTCAGTGTTGATTACATGAAGTTTGTACAGAAGCCTTCAGTTGGGTAGATGAAGTATGTGAGTGGAACTCACCTCACACTGGGCTATTATGAGGTAAGTCAACTTCAGTTATTTACCTCACATTCTTACTCAACTTTACCGTGATGAGTGAGGTATATATCTGAGGAAATTTAAATACTGTATGAGAGTGACATCCTTTGAGGATCCTGTGATATGCCTTATGTAACTTTTTTTCCTCACAATATAAGTGAAGACAGGGAGCACTTCCTAGTGAAGTAAAAAGCAGACAGGTGTCAGAGCAGGTCAGACAAGAACTCACGAAGATAAAAGAGCGTCAGGCTATCAGTTCGTAATGAAGACATGATGGCATGCAGGAAGGAATCTTGTTTGTTATTGATTACAAATGTGTCCGTATGTGTTAGAATGAGAATATTTTTGATTAAGGCATTGCAATGACTCGTGAAATCGTAATAACAAGATTGCAAACAAGGTATTGCAATGTACAGGAAGATTTGAAACGAACGTACCATCTAATATTCAATGGAGGGAAGTTGTTACTCTCACACAGCAGAGATGAGGTTATACCTCCCTGGATACCCAGTCACACAGGAAGCTAAGATTCATCAACATACACTAGCCGAAGCCTAGGCAAGCTTCGCTGCACATTCTTACCAAATGAACTGAAGTTAGCCTTGAAAACTTTTTAAAACAATAACAATAACTGTTATATAATATAGCTTATCTTTTAGTTTTAACCTCTGAAGAAACTCTCACCAGTCGGTAGATCTATGGATGATAATCTACTTCGTCTTTCACTTATAATATACTCACCTGCCCCACTGTATACTCTTTAAATACCCCTTAAATACTGGGGAATGACATACTTGGGTGACTGGAATGATAGTGTTGGAGAAACTGGTAAAAGGTGGGATTGGGGGATTAATCGTCTCTACGTTCTCTCCAACACTGGTAAAGGGTGGGATTGGGGGATTAATCGTCTCTACGTTCTCTCCAACACTAGTAAAGGGTGGGATTGGGGGATTAATCGTCTCTACGTTCTAACTGCTTCTTCAGTTCTGTTCCACCCTGGATGATGGAATGATCTGAGGTTCTTACTTACTGTTGTTGTGTTTCACTGTTTGTGTCTCTGTTTTCCTCCTCATCACATCCACTCTGTTCACCCCATACACAATGATCAACACGAAAACTTTATACATGTACTTATAAATAAACTGCGAGTGACACTTTCTAAGTTGATTCTTCGGATTGCAAGCAAAAAAATATCACATTTTTCCCTTTCGTTTTTACAAAAAACTTGTTTTCTTAAGCAACGAAAGAGGGATTATACTAAGTAAAGATCAGTGTCAATATTAATGTAATATTTTATTAGAAGGAGACAGTAATAAGGTTAGTATGAGTAGTCATTCAGATTTATTGAATGAGCGTTTAACAACGGGAAAGTCTCTGTTGCAGTCAACAGGTTAACATACATACACATATATATATATATAATATATATATATATATATATATATATGTATATATATATATGTATTATATATATATATAATATATATATATATATATATATATATATATATAATATAATAATATATAATATATATATATATATATTATATATATATATATATATATATATATATATATAAATAATATAATATATATATTATATATATAATATATATAATATATATATATATATATATATATATATATATATATATATATATATATAATATATATTATATATATATATATATATATATATATATATATATATATATATATATATATATATATATATATATAATATATATATATATATATATAATATATATTATATATCAACAATGTATCTCTTAAATCTTCTGTACCATATTGTGTAATAAAATATTCCTATTGGTAAAAAAAAAATATATATACTGAAAGATGGGGTGGTAGGGGAAGTGGAATATTCAAACGGCTTTAGGAAGAAATCCAGATATTCTTCCTTGAAGCCTTTTTATCCACTTCTCCGAGGCTATGGGTCCCACAGTTTACACCAGAGGTGGACCCCTATTATATATATATATATATATATATATATATATATATATATATATATATATATATATATATATATATATATATATACAGTGGCCCCCGGTTAACGATATTTTTTTCATTCCAGAAGTATGTTCAGGTGCCAGTACTGACTGAATTTGTTCCCATAAGGAATATTGTGAAGTAGATTAATCCATTTCAGACCCCCAAACATACACGTACAAACGCACTTACATAATACACTTACATAATTGGTCGCATTGGGAGGTGATCGTTATGCGGGGTCCACTGTATATATATATATATATATATATATATATATATATATATATATATTATATATATATATATATATAAAAATAAAATATATATATATATATATATAAAATATTATATGCGCAAGACAAATGTAGTTAAATGTGAAGGTTAAACTCCGTAGATAATACATTTTAAAATTGCTGATCAGGAAACTGAAGGCGCTGTCATTATTATTATTTTGTGTATATACAGCGCTAAACCCATGTGGGGTCACTCAGCGCGAGACGTGGTGGAGGCTCCATGCTCTATCCTCCAAGAGCCACACAGGAGCTTTCTAACTTTCACTCGACACTGAGTGCTATTTGACAACCAACTTCTCCCTCCTGTCAAGAAATTGGTTATAAATCTAAGTGGTATCTCAAATTTTGAATAGGCCTCTGGCTGTCTTCCAGGAGGAACTGGACAAGTTTTACACGTCAGTTCCAGACCAGCCGGTCTGTGGTTCATACGTTGGTCTGCGTGCTACCAGCAGCAATAGCCTGATGAATCGGGCTTTAATTCACCAGGAGGCCCCTGGTCTGGAACCGGGCAGCGGGGGCGTTGATCCCCCGTAAACATTCTTTAGGTATGTTTCTAGCACAGATTCCTTTCAGTCTCAAATACGGTTTGACGATCCAGATAACATTATCATATGCGATTTGAACAGCCAGATAATATCAAATACGCTTTGAAAAGCCGGATAACGTCATATAATGCGCTTTAAATAGCCATATAACAACATCCAGTACTCTTTGAGGTCTGAACAACCCTGCTGTGAAACACAATTCAAACAACTCTTCAAGACTAAATCACAAAAATTTGGAGGACCTGGTCGGCGTAAAGCATTACTGTATGTGTCTCCACATAATTTCTCAAGCACTCGAACCGCTGTTAGTAATCGAAGGCCCAATCTTTGAAAGAATTTTCATCCCTGATTCACAGTCCAGCCCATCAGACGACGATAACCCGTTCAGGGGTTGTGTCAGTCGTTCAGACTCGCCCTGGTGAGCCTAGTTATTATTCAGCTTAGCCGTCGTCTCGTGACTAGGCTGACGTATATAGTCTTATATAAGAGGAGGAGGAGGAGGAGGAGGGATGTGAAGACTTTGTTTCGTCGTATCAAAAGATAGCCTAAGACTGTCCTGTGTCTTAAGAAACGATATTTCAAGCCTTTGTTCTGTCTTGATGTCTGAAACATTGCTCCATTTTAGAGGTGTTCGAAACATCTGTTCCACTTTAGAGGAGGTGTTCGAAACATCTGTTCTACTTGAGAGGTTTGAAACATTTACTCCACAATAGGACTAGTAACGCTAAGCTTCGCTCTATCCTAGAGTTTCATAGTGTTGTATAACCTGTGTGTGTGTGTATGTGTGTGTGTGTGTGTGTGTGTGTGTGTGTGTGTGTGTGTGTGTGTGTGTGTGTGTGTGTGTGTGTGTGTGTGTGTGTGTGTGTGTGTGTGTGTGTATGCGTGTGTATGGTGTGTAGTGTGTTATGTGTATGTGTGTATTGTATGTGTAGTGTGTGTGTATGTGTGTTGTGTGTGTATGTGTGTATGTGTGTATCTGTATGTGATGTTACTCACCTCACTAGTTGTACTCACCTAGTTGAGGTTGCGGGGGTCGAGCCCGAGTCCGGGCCCGCCTCTTCACGATCGCTACTAGGTCACTCTCCCGGCCTAGCTTTATTCCCTTTTGCTTAAAGCATGTTGGATCCTGCTCCCACTACATCGCTTCCCAACTTTTCCCCTTACTGACTACTTGTGGTGAAAAATTTTCCTAAACCCCCTGTGTTTTTCTGTGTTTCAGCTTCCCCAACTGGTCCCCTTTTTTTCTTGCCCTCTTGGGAACCCCTTTTGTTTTGTCCCCTTGTCCCCCCTATTTTTTGCCCCCCCTCCCCCCCCCCCCCCCCCATGTCGTCAGGTTGATTTCCCTAACTCCCCCTCGTAGGCCCATACTCTTGCTCTGGGACTGTCTTTTTGAAAACCCTTTGCCTTTCTCTAGTTTTTTTAAACGTGCTTGTTTAGTGGGGTTTCCAAACTGTGCCGCATAACTCCAATATGGGCCTAAACTTATATACGGTGTACAGCGGTACTGTAACGATTCCTATTAAGATTCGGACTGCTGTTCTGAGGTTTGCTAGGCGCCCAATCTGCAGCATATTTGGTTGATGGCGCGTAAGATGTACTGAGTGTTAATATTTCTCAACCCAATAAATCTTTTTCCCAAAGGAATCTTTGAAGTCTCTGACCACCGCCTAGACGAGTACTCCGTTCAGCGGGTGTTCTTTGACCTTCCCAATCGTAATTTTGACCTGTTGTACTAGGTGGGATTAACTAAAAAGGAGGAATGGGGTGGGGAAGCTCTGCGTCTATCAGATCCTTAGACTTCTGGGGTCTTAAGATCGATTTAATTTTTCTATCAATTTCCCTGACATCTGCATATTAGGGGTCAACCTCCAGAATGTCGAATCTGTTCTCTGTCGAGTTGAAAATTACCAGCAAATAGCACTAGTCCTAACTGACGCCTATCCTGGTCACAGGTGTTGACACTGCGTGCTGTATCGCTGCTGTGTTCCTAAAGTATTCCTGTGTTTGTAGTGCTGTCCTGTTATCTGCTTGGTCTTGGGTTTTTGCCTCTCTGTGTGGACTGTGTAAAGGGGTTCTTGTGAGTGTTGTGTTTTTGTATGTGGTGTGTGTGTAGTGTGTGTGTATGTGTGTATGTGTGTGTGTCGTG